TAAATAATAAAAATACATAAGGTAAAATAAAATAACAAAATAAAACTCACAGCGCCAGCAATTTCCACCTTATAATTTACAATACATCTTAAAGAATGATTATTTCGTATTTGATTGTTAATATCCCTGCACGTTCTGATCCAACTAACTTTCGCTTTCACGTTACTATCGAAATCTTCAGGTTTTTTAGGGATTTCTAGGTTTAAATCGGCAGGTGGAATGTCAAGAACACCTTCACCGCTATTCCAAATTTTTAGAACAACTTCGTATACCCTCTTATTCACAGCCCAACACGTAGAACCGAGGACATCCAAGCCAGCAAAAACATGTTCCAGATGTGAGTTGTCAGAAGCTTTTTTCAGATATGCAACTTGTTCAGGACAATCTTTTATCCTCATGGCAAGAGCTAATAAATGACGATTTCAAAAAATGATTTATATGTACAATGAAAATAGGCATCGTAAAGCATTTTAGAAAAATATTAAATATCTCATACTTGGAGATGTCAGATAACCACCACTATTGAAAGTCAACCAAGGCTTTGGAATAATTAACATTGGCAACATTCGAGGATGTAAATGATCTCTAATGGACTCATTAGAAAGCCACTTTATCAATTGAGGATTGAGTTTGATAACCCCAACTTTTTTACCTCTATTATATTCATAAGAATGAAAAAATGCAGGAGCCTCTTCGCTTCTATAATCAACCGGTAAATGATAAAAGCATCAATAATTAAGTGCATAATTTTAAGAATCTGCTGATTAATAATAATTTAATTCTCACATTATTTTACCAGCTGCATTAGTAGTTGAGACAGTAATCTGAGCAATTTTAATCAGGCTAGCAGCCAAGAAGGAACCAACCTAAACGAGTAATATCAATGATAGGTCATAAATAATATCATTGTTGATATTTAACATATTTGGCCACGATGCCCACCTTAACTCTTATTGTCGATCCCCAATCTGGTTTCCATGATGTTTCAATATCTTCTTTTTCTAATTTTCTCGCAAAACGGC